TACCATGATAAAAGTGTTTATAGCGGAAAACAATGAATACAAGACAAGTACCATATCTCACATAGAAAAATGATACTTCACACTTTCTCCTGCTAGGAGATATTTAACTTTCTACAAGTGTGACACTGCTTCTGTGCTGTTTCCTGTGTTGTCCCCAATATGTCCTTTCTGAACATGAAGGAACAAATTAAGAAGATTGTTTATTCAAGGATAAACACTGCCATTCCTTTGCATAACATCTTTGTCTATCTTGGGATGGAATTTGGTCCATCTCCTAGCACTCTACAATACCTTACAACCTAGTCTGGGCTGCTGCCAGAAAACTAGTGTTTAAAACCACCTAAGGGAACATCTCAAACTTGTTAAACATTTCTACTTAGATTTCTACTCAGAGGAATCATAAGTTGGGGTAGGTAACATGGGGACCTGGACTAGTTCTTTGAAGAATTCTTTTTCTTCTCCATGAAGGAGCATTAACTAGCTAGGTCTCAAAATGGCTGGTTTGACTCTCATGGACACTGTCCCCTCTCAGGCTCTCTACTGTGGAACCCACAAGTGAAAGTCCATGCCCAAACATAGCACTCCTGCTCCACCAAGCCCTCAGTGATGCTCAGGCAGCACTGAATTTTTTACAGATTGTGACAGAGTACAGTGACCTATGCCAAAAGAAATTATTTCCTGTTATAGTAAGTTTACAAATTAAGAGGTAATAAAGTACTACTTTTTTTTAAAAAACATTGGAGCTCCTTGTACAGTTTTCCCTAGCCTAATCAACTGTAGGAAGTTTTGCATTCTGACAACATAAGCCCAGGCTGCCTCCTATGGAAAACTGAATTTAATTCCAAAACAAAAGCTTCTCAGAGGAACCTGTCTTTTTCCCTAGGAATGAGACAGTTGTGCCTCTATAAATCTGTCCTATTCAGCATATCTCAATCTGACACCTAAAAGAGATGTAAAAAGACACTCCAGAAAAATTAAGCAAGATGGAATTTTAAAGAAAATAATTTCTGTCAGGTAAAAATATCATAGTAGACCGCAGATGTAAATCACATATTTGTGATATGTCTGTCCAGCTACACTAAGGAAAGAGTAAGAAAGGAATGAAAAAAAAATTACATGTATCAGTCTAATTAGACAGAATAATTTCTTACTTTGAAATAAGCATCAAGCATGGAACAGCATAGCCTTCAAAAGTTACTGTGAAAACAGACACTTGTCATCATGGTATGCTGGAAAAGAAGCTGGAAGAGCGAAGGGAACACTTGTTCCATGTTCTTGCAAACTTTGGGTCTCATTAGCTGCCTGTTGAAAGTGGCAAAGCTTAGGTTTCCCACAAGTTCTTTTATCACTTCTTTGTTTTCACCAAGCTGTTCACACGGACTCTGATGTCGCTCAGTGGCCTAACACAAAACCAGTCTGAGCTTTGGAAGAGTAAAAACAAGAGGAGAAGCAGGAAGCAGGCACTGTCTGCAGGGAAAGTGCAGCAGGACACAGCACACACCTGGCTGCTTTCCCCAGAGCAGGGGGGCATTCCAGGTGAACTCCCCCATCTGAAGATCACAGCATGATCCACGAGTGGTGTGATAGTAACTTGTTGCTGATTCAAGCTTCAAACTGCAATGTAAATTAAAATCTAGTGAACATGCATGCCTCAGGAGGCAGCAGTTTCCTACCTCCCAGACCCAAGTGAATGATCTTTCTCAGGGTGACCTTTCATCTGGCAGGAAGCTATTTCCCTGCCTATTCCCAAAACATATCTGGTTATTTGAGGAAATGTGACAGCACCTCTGCATTGGATTAATTCAGAGGACAATAGTAACCCATTCACTTACTAATTCTAACCAATTTTGGGTTTAAAATCAGAAAATGAAGTCAGCCACAACACAGTGTTACATTTCACATCTGGAATGTGCGTTGCAGCTGCACTTCAGTCTCAGGGCAATTATTTCGATCCCAAACCCAGTTGTTGTAAATAAATCTAATTAATTAGAATGTTTTTTCTGTGCCTTTACAGAAAAAACCCTCAGTATTTCAGCAGAACCGTAACCAGAAGTAGATTCTTGCTGCTGTTCTGCTCAGTTGTCCTAATTTATAAGAAATGTTCCCCAGTTAAACTTCCATCTATTTCCCACCCACACAAACTCAGTTTTATCACAGATTTCTGACACTAAATCACTTCTATTCGAAAGTCTGCATGATTTCCCTGAAGCCTTAGTTTAATGTTAAGAAAATTAAAACTACTACATTCTGGAACATTTCTATACTGTTATTTTAGGTCCATTTCTCAGGGTTTTTTTCTTCTTTAATGAGCACCACACAGCTTGCAAAAGTATTACACACACTAAAATAAATTGTGCACACTTCCCAAATTCCCTGCCTAGAATTCCCCTCCAGATGAGACAGCAAAAATGCTGCAAGTTGATAACTATTACCAGGGGACATTCTCACAAACCAGTAGACTAAACAGCTTCCTGCATTCCTAGGAAACTCTTCTCTCTCTCCCAGCAAACTGAAAAATAGACATTACTAAGATTATACTGTTCAAGTACAGTGATTTCCAGTTAAAACAATAACTATTTCCAAATTATTTCAAAATTTCTGAACGATGTCACACACAACTAAAATTTTGCTTCAAGTAGGTTAAAAATGCTTTTATTGCAATTTGTTGCCTTTTGTAATGTAGCTGCGGTACAAAATACCCTGTCATAGTGTCTTTGCATTAAAAAAAAAAAAAGGAAAGAAAAAAAAGAAAGAAAAATACAAAAAAAGAGAAAAATACCAAAAAAAGAGAAAAATACCAAAAAAACCAAAACCACTAGTTCGTTGGCCGAGACTTTTAGTCAATCGCTCGCTGCGGGTTTCTTTTAGCCGTGTTCATTCCACGACCGTGCCCTGCCCACCCGGGCACCACATGCTACCAGGCCGAGGGGTTGGAGCCGAGGGCGCCAGGCCCGCAGCGAGCCCTGCGGGGGCAGGCAGAGAAAGCTCTGCCCGGAAATCTCCGGGCACTGGCCTTTATTTGCCGAAGTCCTAAACACTTGTGTAAAAATAAACAGGGACTCTCTGGGCGGGTTTAAGGGGGTGCCCAAGGCCGGCCCGCGCCGCGCCGTCCCCGCTCTCCCACGGCGCCATCGGGGCAGCGGCGGCTCCTCCGCCTGGCGGCGAGCGCCATCTGGCGGCGGGCGGGGCTGCGGCCCGGGGCCTCAGGGGGGCGGCGGGAGCGGCTCCGGGCCCTCGGCCTCGCACGGCCTGAGCCCGAACCTGGCGGCTGGGCAGCCGCAATAAACCACGTATTGCGCTTTAATGTCCGAGATCTTCAGTTCCATCAACGCCTCTAGTGACCTGGAGTCTCTCGGAGAAGGCTTTCCTTTTGTGCTTTCCCCATTTCTGCTCTGATTCTAGAGGAAGCACCTAAAATAATACACCTGCATGCCGTGTACACCTGCATGCCGTGTACACCTGCACGCCATGCACACCTGCATACCGGCACACTGATATACACCTGCATGCCGGCACTGTGGCCGTGCCAGGGCGCCGTGGCATCAGTGACATTCCTCTGGGGATACTTCTCTCTTTAGGAAAGGCTGGCCAGCCTCCCCACAGGGCTCTGTGGCCTCCGGGGCCTGTCCATCCCTCAGGGAGTAGTGCCAGCCCTGGTGTAATAAAAGACATCTTGAAGACATTAATTCATTCATCTTTGCACTGTTTAAAAAAATTAACTGGAGATTTCTGCTGCAATTATTACATGAAACTGCAAGTACCTCAGCATCACCCATGTTGCCAGTAACCCCCAGTCTGGCCACGGCCATTGAACAGCAAGAGTGAGGCCACATTATCTGTTTCTTTGTGTGACAGGTTAATTCTACAATCCATTCTTTTCATGGGCAATAAATTTCACAAGGAAAGTCGTCTCTTGGTAACACTGTGAAATATTTCCCTTCGCTTTTGCTTTCACCTAAATGATATGGCTGTTGTGAGTCAAGTGCTGATAACATCCCCCTGTCCTGACTGAGGGCAGTACCAGGGCCAATAAACATTTCTGACAAAATGTTTCAAACACAATTGCAACCTCCTTGTCACGGCCTATTTTCAGAAGACAAGGCTTTCCTGCAAGCTATTTTACAATTCTACTAAGAGCTGTACTCTGAATAATAGACCTGAGTACTTGTGAACATTCTATAGAGATGTCATGTGGCTGGGGATCAATTAGGATGAATAAGCCCAGAACAGAGAAGGGGTGACAAAATTAAGACAGTGTTAATGCCTTGGCAGTCCCATTTTATACAGCAATCCATGCATTAAGAGTATTTTGTCTCTATAATTTTTAAGGTATCTGGCAAAACCATTTTTCTTCAACTTACTTGGTAGAATATACATCATCCAGATGTTGATTTGATCTGAAAGTGAGAGGCATTTAATTCACAGCTTAAATTTCAATAGACTTATGAGACATTTATTTAAATCCTGTGAGAAAAATAGTTTTACTAGGTTAAAAGCCAGCTGCATGTGTGAAAGACATGAGCTGTCAAGACGTTATTTCAGAAGTCCCATATCTTTCCATTAATTATTAACCCACTGCTTCCCTGTCATTAATTAAAAGGGAGTGACTTGCATACTTTGTTGCTGGGCAACTATAAGAAAGATCAGCAAACTTTGCATGAATGATGGGGTTTGAATATCCCCAGCCAGGTCTCCTTCATGTTCTTGAATGCAGTCCAGTGTGGTCAAGTACAGCTTGATGTCTTTTCTTGGACATTTTTTAACTAAAGCAAATACCTATTGTAATCAGGTAAACCTTTTGTTCAAACTCAAAAAAAAAAAAAAAAAAAAAAAAAAAAAGAGGGGGAAAAAGGGGGGGAAAAGGAAAAAAAAGGGAAACAACCAAGCAAGGTTCACATAGGGACATAGGGTAATTCAAAGTGATTATTGGGTAACAGAACTACTAGTGTTGATATAATAACATTACTTCTAAAACAAATATAATTTCTCTCTCTCTTGCAGTATTAACTGAAAATTACAAAGAACTGTGTGAATAACAATTCAGTGGATAACATAAGGAAAGAGCATTTATTTCAGAAGGTAAACTGGAGTATTTTTCTACTTATTTTGTCTGCCTAGCTGGTAGTACATACTGATCCTTTTGCATTCTGTACTATGCACAGTGCTATTCTGCTTCAAAACTGAGCACTTAAAGGGATTAGTGTTTGTTGATTGCTTTCATGAGATAATATAGTCTTGTTCTCCTCTATGCTTTTTACCCATAATCTTTTATTTCCAAGGAGAAAATTCTGATTAGCCCTATGCTTTGAATAGCAGAATTATTTCCTAGAGTGTGACAATTGTGTAATCATTCAAATAAGCCAGTGAACAAGCCGGTAAAAATTTATCCCCAGCATAACAATTCTGATTCAATTGAAATTAAAACAGTCAAAAATCCACAGTACAGAGTTAAATTCCCTAGGGGGTTCAACAAGTGAAACCTCTCAGGCTGGAAATACCTGCTTTGATTTCTTAACCAGATTAATGCATCAGCCTTCCAGACTATACTGTGTGTTAAAATACAGCAACATAGACCGAGACCAATGAAACCAGTTCATAAACAAGCTGAAATTGCTTAAAGAATATAAAGCAAAATTAACATTGTAGCTCATATAGGCATCTGGGCTTGGAAATAAATTATGAAAGTCAGATTTCTAATAACTTTTTTTTTCAGAGGTGAGCTGAACTTTAAATGGTTTATATTAGAACAGAAAATATGCATGTGGCTTTTCAGAGAGATGTGGAGGGGCTTGTGGAGCACTGAAGCCAGAAAAAGCAGTGATGATACAATTTCTGTTACCTGGTGGTTTATGCAATGACAAAGTCATGGCCAGAATGGCTTTAATTTGATGAATGGTTAGAAGGTCAAGAATGCACAATACACCTCACTACAGGTGAGATGAAGATTCTGTGGCTGTACCTGGAATACTGCCCAACATTAACTTCTGCTTTCTTTGAAGAACTCTGAAAAATGTGAAAGGACTTCCAGAATGACTTAAAATAATTATATAAAGCCCAGGGAACCTAATAACAGAACTTCAAATTACTTAATTTGTTGAAGAGGAAGCTCAGAGTTGATTCAATTGAATATCTCTGTAGAAGATTTTTAATAGTCAGTTTCCAGCTAAAGAATTTTCCTGTCTAATAGACAGGAAGATTCTTTAGCTGGAAACTAAGCCAAATAAAATGAGAACAAAAATAGGACCACATTATTCGCAGTGAGCATAATTGAGTCCTGGAATTATCTACTCAGGAAGCAGGTGTTTTCTCCATCATTCTTGGTCTATCTGGGACAGGTATGAGCTTTGCACTATAGTGTTTGGAAAGAGATACACTGAAACCTGCTGAAAAACATTGCTGCAGCCTGTCCAAACATTGAAACTGCCAGCTTGCCCAGATGCAGCAAGAAAAGCTTGTGATTCAGCATGAAGTGCCTGCTGCTGCCATTACTGACACCAGCAGGCTGTGTAGAAGCTATTTCAAATCTTCCCATGGTTGACATAGCAGCTGAGAGGAGTAAGAAGAATGTGTTACTTGGATCTAAAGGTTCCAGTGCTCAGGCACAGGACCAGGCAGGATCACAGGTACTCTAAGAGCCAGGCTCAGCAGCCCCTTTGGACCTCCTCTTTCCCATCGCAGGGGGGTTCAGCCTCCCAACTAGCACGACCCTGATGCCAGCCACATGGTGTGACTCTAGCTCAGGAACCATACTTGAGTTGCCTGCACGCCTTAGCAGGCCCAGGAGTCACCCTCTGACCGGCCCTCTCAGTGCAAACCTGAAGTTAAACCCTCTCCATGTTACTCAGATAAGGAGAGGGCATCCTGTGAGCATCTGGTTGGACAAAGAGGCAATGTGTGGAAAGGGGACATGGGGAAGAGGATTGCTTTGAATATGTGGTGGTGTGATGCTTGAGAGGTGTTGCTCTTGTGAGGTATTGTTGGTGAACGACCAACACAGGAGTCATCACCACCAGGGTTCAAAGGCAGTAACCTGGAGACAAAACACCAGGAGAGCCAAAGACCTTCAGATAGAGAGATTCAAATAGCCTTCAGATAGAGATATTTAAATAGCCTTTTACTTCCTTTATGTCCTGCCAGACATAAAGGAAGTAAAAGGCTATTTAAATATCTCTCCTGAGCTCAGAAAACATAGAGGGTTCTTAAAAGGTTCTGGTGAGGCTATGAATAATTGGAATTACACACATTCACTCAGAACTGAACAACAGTGTCAGCAAAGCTGTGGGACTCAGCAGGACCAGCTCACAGCTTCAGAACTGTACCTACCTGGGAAACCAGCACAGCTCCATGGCAGAGCAAGGTGTGACTGTGTAGTTGCATTTTAAAAAAAAATTCTAATTGAAATTTCAGTGCAAATGAGGTATTCAACAAGGAAACTTCAACAAAACTGTTAACATTTGGTAAGACTATAAATATGATTAAGTGTATGAGAACATATTAAATAAATATTAATTGAATCATACAAGGCTGTACTCTTTGTGTAGTCTGCATAAAATAATCTCCTTTGCAGAGGGGGGAAACTTAAGTTCTTGTTAACAAGAGGTTACAATGGAATCAATTATTAAAAGTTTCTAAAAGGAGCACTGCATTTACAATTCTCCTATGTAAATTCAATTACAGTTCTCTTGATCTGTAGTTTTGATTTGTAATAGATGTAGTCTTTTACATTACTTATTTCTGAAACTTTAACCTTTAAAATCTTCTCTTTTGTCTTGGTTTGAAAGACAGGTGTCTGCCAAGGAAGGGGGGAACCTCCATGGGAAAGGAAAATACAGCCCCCTTCCTTCCAAATTATTATAACTTTGAAATGAAGGGGCTTTCAGGCAAGAATAACAGTTCTTTACTAGTTTGTATGTATAACAAGGCAAACAAACAGCAGCAACAAGAAACAAAACCAGAAATCCAGTAACAGCCTTCTCTTGGCTATCAGGCACCTTCCCCTTGGAGAGTGTATAAAAGATTTCCTCAGTGTGGAGACATTCACATTGAGAGGCTTCTCTAGAATTGAGAGAAATTAGGAGATTCTCTGCACACCACTGTCATGTGTTGGTAAGTGACATTGACTTTTAATCTATATTATTTCTTTGCTAGCTGAAACATTGGTACCTTTATTATCATGCACTGTATTTTTATCTTCAAGTAGCTCTTTTTGTGTTATCCATCCTGTGTACTAAGTAGTCTGTTTGAAGTCTTATGTCCATTTTCTTTGGTCTCCTCAATAAATGATTCGTGTTGTTGTAGGACTGATCTGTCATTTTTAAGAACTTGCAAGCAACAGTGAATTTTGGGGTGCTGGCCACCTCAATAAAGCTGCTGTCTACTGCCAGAAACTTGTCAAAGGCAGGGACTTGCCTAAGCTCTCCCCTCTCACTTTGTAACATACATACATCAAAATTTTACCTCTTTGTGAAGATTCTCACTGTGATTTCAACTTTTCCTTGGCGTGAGCTTCCAACTTGACTCAGCAAAATAAGTTAAAATATATATTTATTTTGTATTTAATCTATTAAATTTAAAGGCCAAAATATTGCCAACAGAAGCAGCTAAAGATGCTGGAAAGAGTTCTGCAAATTTAGTCTGACTGAATCAAGGCAATGGCCTTGATCTGCACCTGAATTAGTCCAGCTGCTGACTGAATGCTTTGAGCTCTGCCTCAGGCATTCCTTACTCTGGACAAGCTGCTTCTCCCTGCCTTGTCCTCCACAGCCCCTGCCCGTGGGAGCCTCTGTCATTAGGAGGTCACCTGGAGTCACCAGGAGGAGGGCTGTCAGAGAAATTCCAGACCTCTGGAGGGGTTTTCTGTACCTGAGAGGCAGGCTGGAGGCTCACTGCTGTCATGTAATCCAGATGTGCATTTCCTTGTCCTGAACGCACCAGATGTGTGCCTGCTGATGTGAAAAAGTAGGGTTACACACCTCAGTAAAAACAAGTTCTATGAAGTGACTGTTTTCATGTTTTATAAGATGTCTAATAAGCTTACTTGAAAAATTTAACAAAATGGGTTTCCAAATTCCCAGCTAATCTGTCTCAAACAGTGACCAATAGCTAAAACAGTGAGGCCTGCATAAATCAATTGTTATACACAGATATCTGATATGTTGGCAATTTAAGCCTTGAAATGTGCAGGTTATTTCAGCCAGGTCATTGTGGAAATAATTACAAGGAAATTTCTTTGGAGGGCAGTTACTTTGTAAGGGAGTGTATGCCTGGCTTTTATTTTTCTGAATGTACAAAATTTCCCAGGTGGGGCAAATTAAGCCAAGAGCAAGACAATGCAAAGATATGCTAAGTCTCCTAGGAACATCAGCCTAAAAACATGCTGCTGAAATGAGCTGAGAGATCTCTCTTCTTGGTGGATGATATCAGTGTTTCATAAAGTACTCTTGAATCCAATATGTTTTCAGGATAACTTCTTACTTTCTTGCAAAAAAAACCCCTCATTATGTTCTGCTGTAAACCACATTAGTAAATTTTTAAAAAATCAATAATGTAATCATCCTATCTTTGCAGTGATACATAATCCTGTTGTTGTCAGATTAAGACTGTTTTTTCTCCTAACTAATCGGATGGAGGGATTAAAACCTGCATACACAAGTGGAACACGAAACAGCCAGCGGGAGAGAAGACAATTTGATAGGACAGATGGGCTAGGAGATAGTGACATGCAGTGGAAAGACCATGGCTGGAAAGAAGTGTCTGTCATGAAAATGGATTGGCAGAAATGTGTCAACAGTGGCACTTTGGCAGCCTGGAGGATCTGCTCTTCTTGCCTCCAGCTTTCCAGCATACAGGTTTTTCAGGAGGTTTTTTATGAGGGTGCACACAGGTGACACAGATTATGAACTTCACAATGAATTGTCACAGCTTGGAGTAGTTATGATATATCCCATCTAGAAAAGTGTTCCAAACATGGCCTTATGTGTAAGCAACTGCTGCATCACATTAGTGGCTCTTTCCCAACATCTAACAATTTAAAGCTGTGATAGGCACCTATTTAAATGCCCTTGCTAAAACCATTGCCTCTCCTTAGTTCCCCTTTCAGAGTAATGCCCACTGGTACCTTTTCTCTTCTGCATGGTTTGTGGTGCTCAGGGCAGCTCTGTGCCCCTGGAAAGCCAACAGCAGCTGTGCAAGTGGCATATAGACTCAAAAATACTACAGGCAGTTTCTGAATCACAGAGGATCAATATTAATTACATTTCATCACCTTGACACTGTACTGGAGGAAAATAAAAGCTAAAAATAACTTTATTTTCCCTGGTAATCCTCTTCCTCCTTTTCAGTCTTTTCATTCCATTTCTCTTCTTTAAACTCCAGTTGCATACACAGGACTAGCTCAGAGGCATCCCAAACCATGTTAGAAAGAAAAATTTGCTTTATGTGGCTTTCAAAACTTTTTGATCCTTTGATCCTTGACTAATCTGAGTGGGAGTTGACCTCCTCTCATCCTGGAGTAGAGAAAAGACAACCAGGAACTGCCTAATTACCAGCTGTATATCTGAACTGTCAGGTTTTCTCATCATGCTCTTCCATCTCTCTCCCCTCTGACAAACTTATTTTTCATGAATCCTTCCTTACATTAATTTGAAGAGATGTTATTTTTCATTTTGCCCTTTCAATATTTTTTCTTTATTTATCTCTTCAGCTTGACCTTTTTTCTCTCATTCAAGATGATTTTTATTAAACACACATGGTAATTCACTGCAAGTTGCAGAAATTTAATGCGTAGCACCAGAAGCCTTTCACAATTTCTCTAAGGTTTCTCAGAGTTACACAGAATTTCTCTGAGTTCTTCAGATTTCAGTCTGAAGCCATTAAGATATGCTTTGGATGTTAACTTTTTTTTTCATGTTTCTTAACTGTTATTTATACACAGTTCCTTCATCCTGTGCATTTCCAATTTAATCTTTAAAAATAGCTTTTTGAGGTCTCAGACCTTTTAAGGATGTGGGCTGCTTTTTAAGTTAGCACTTTTCCCTTCCAGTTTCTAAATCATAATTTCCCACAATGATCACTACTTCTTTACACAGGATTTTCAGAGACATAGTCTAGCATTTTCATTACTCTTGCACAACAAGTAATTTTTCTTTAACACTATTACTCATACTCTACTTTCTAGGTCTTCATCTCTCTTTTCACTGATTTGTTCCTTATTCTTTCTTTGTGGTTCCATTTAATCACCATTTGCACTGTGTACAGCTGCTGGCTTCTTTTCCCCCAGCTATTTCATTTCTGCTGAAGGCAGCTATTTCTGCTGCATCTCTCTCTGAAAGTACCCCTTCTTCTACATTAAAAGTGGCAGTCTCTTTTAGCAACTTAATTAAACTGGAATATTTCTGTCAATAGCACTTACAGTTCCTGCAAGGGGACATCTTGCATTGCATGGAAGTGATAGCTTGCTAGAAAACCTTCATTAAAAATAACAGAAGATCAAACTTCAGGTCTGACTCTTCTCCCTGTTTCAGCAGCATGACTTGCAGTTGAGTTATCCCCAGTTTGTGTGAGGAAAAGAGAGGAGGATCTGGCCCTCGATGTGCCAGTAGATCCTGTAGATCACCTGCATACATATTGGGACATAGTTTTTGAGTACTGTAGTTGTAAGTAGTATGAATTTCCAAATAATTGAGAAAAATGTAGATCCCTGTTCCCCTCCTTCCTCTTTCTGATTAGTACTCATTAACAAATGCATCCAGTCATGAGTACAGGAGTGGCTTCCCAGACTTTCCACTAACATGGTGGCCACACTCATGTGTGATTCAGCAATCAGGAATCCCTGTTTGTGTCAGAAATATTTCCCTGCTTTTACAGAACAGCTCTTTTGCCCAGAATGAATTTTGGTTCTTCATCAGTTTTCACTTCTTTTGTTTTAATGGAGAAATACCTATTCTGATGAAAGGCAACATTCTGGACAGTGTGGTATGACTTGTCAGAAGCAAATCAGTTTGCAATCAGATTGGGACTGTGTAGCCGCAGGGATTTTTGTAGTCAGCAAGGTGACTACAGTGAATTTAATGGAAGTTTGGAATAACTATTTAACATTACATTGGCTACAGTGTGATGAAGCAAGGGAACTCGTGGGCCACAGCTCTAGAACAGATTAACAGACTGTCATTCCCCTCTCATCATGAGCGGACATAACTGTGTGCTGCTGCTGTCATCACTATTTGCATCCCACATCAGTAGGTTTGTTTCTGTGTCTCACAGCAAAGCTGACTTCTAGAACACTAGTTCATGTGCTTATGAGTTCCACATAAGCACATAAGTACCTTCATGAATGCTACCACAACTTGAGATCCAATAAAGTTTAAAGAATATACAAGATTAAGAACTACAGCACTTGAAAATAATAGACATTCTCTGAATTAGGGCCAGAGTCCAGAAATACATTTGGTGTAACAACACAGCAAGGTGTTAGTTGAATGAGTAGGTCTTTGGCTATCACCTTTCAAATGTTAGGAAAGTATCAGGTAAGCTGACACTTGAGGTATAGAAATGCAAAGCCTTTAAAAATGTGTAGAACTGCTTTTTCTCCCAGGAGCTAGCAGGGAGATTTATTTCTAGCTTTTATTATTTATTTATTTTATAAATAAATAGCTTTTAGCCTTTATTATTTATTTATTTTATTTCTAGATTTATTTCCAGCTCTTGTTTTTCATGATACATTTTTGTTCCATAGTTTTTTATTTAAGCTTTATATTTTTATTGTAGAAAAACATGGTGTATTTTGAATTAGTAAACAAAACAGCAGGCATCTACAAGGAATATGTAAAATGCAAATCACAATGTTCAATACCAGTAGTTCAAGGAAAAAACTTAAACCAAAGTTAATTTTAAGGCTGCATCTTTCTCTCACATGTTTCTTAAAACAGAGTTAGTTCTTCTTCACTCTGCTAAAAATAATTGATGACATGGTAAGTCTCCATATTCAGTGATTTATATTTCAGACTATTCTTCAGATAGCAGCCTTGGCCTGGCTGTGAGCCAGACAAGTCTCTTTGTGTTCCCTTTCTTTCATTCAGCTTTTTAAAATGCTTTGTCTTTAAGTTTTT